GTATAGTACTGGATGGACTATATTGACATTATTATGAATAGATAAGATTCTATTAAGAATAAGTTGTCATATAGCAAATATGGAAATGTTTCCATTAATGGGAGTTGGATATTAAGACTCTATGTAGATTAGAAACTTTTATGCAAAAGGATGTTCAAAGGAATGTACTTTGAGTGAGAGACATCACATCTATAAAATTGTTTTGTAACAATTTCTGATAGAGAACTTAGTAATTTCATTAGCCGGGTCTTGGTGACTTTTGTGCTATGACATTACGAAAGAATCATTGCATAAAGTGTTAGAATCTGACATATTCTAAAAGTGGCAAGAATTTGGTATTCTTATACTAATAATAAAAAAAATTGGGGATTGTGAAATGAGTTTCATTGGGAAAGTTTTTCAATTGATCTATTTCACAGAGTATGGACCATAGAAACCAAAGTGTGCATGTTTGGAGCATGGGACAATTGTGGTTATAATTCGAGTAATAAGTTGATTGTCTGAAACAGTAAACAATGAATAATGAGTAATCAATATGGTGTTTAAATAAAAGTGTTTTTATTTACGCTCAAAAGTTTTGGGGCCATATAGGATTAATATTATTATTGCGTTTCACTTTGCATGTTTTGACTTCCAGAATAACTAGGTTATTCAAACATCCACAGTCGGTCATACGTTGGAAGTAGGTATGAAGGAAGACTGTCATGAATCTGTCTGTAGATTGTCTAAAGTGTTTAGACATAGCACAAGTTTGCTGCAGAGTTCATGAGTGCTTTGATAAGATTAGAGTATTGGATTAAACCCACGCTCATTTGAATCACTTCATGGTTTTATCACGAGTGATTGGTGAGACGATAACATTGTATATTCTTGAAACCGAGACGTGTGAGTTGTTATTTGCTGGTCGGTTGCACATTGACAATAAGTAAACGTACCAGTAACTTGGTGTTATAAAACTTATTGTTGTGTGTGATTCGATTAGTAGGTGCAAGCAAGCATTTGAGTCGAAGTTTATCCATTCCTTTTACCCAAGGTGGGATAAAAGCGATATCTGTGGGCCCCTCGATGATTTAGTGATGACAAAGGAAAGTGCTCGGCCGGGCCAGGACTGATTTGATTTGTTCAATTAGTCAGTCGTCATAAATCGGAAATCGGGAAACGACACATAGACTGAGAGAATGATTTCAATCCATGTCTCATGTCTATACGATATCTTGTAAAATGGAGGAATATATGATCCCTTATCTAAAGGACACGCGTATCTGATAAGATCAGAGTTGACAGCGCTTTTGGAAGCTACGATTGCTGATCAGGTTCTGAAGTCATACGCAGAATAGTTATTAGACTTATCCAAGTGGGAGACTGTTGGATTAGTGTCTAAGTCCATAACTATTTTGGTATTTACTTGACCCGATTGTGAGCATGGTCCTTTTGGGTTGCCTTCACACTGGTGACTAGACAGGATGACAGTTGAGGAGAGAGGTTGATTAGGGCATAAATATGATTTATTTATTATATTATATGATTAATATAATAATTTGGAATCATATTATTAATTAGTATTTAATCAGAAATTAATTAGGAATTAATTTCGGGATTAAAGGAATTAATTAAAAGTACAGGGGCTGTTTTGTAATTATTTGATAGTTGAGACTTTGGGCTATTGGATCACTTTTATTAAGGCTTGAACGAAAATCCTAGAAGGATCTAGGAGTTTTCGTCCAAGGGCTTAAGGAAAGGAGTCCATGGACTTGCTTAGGCCCTAAGCTAAGGGATTAGGGTTTCCACCTTGAAACCCTAGCTAGCCTCAAGTATAAATAGCACCCTAAGGCACTAGAATTCGTCCAAGCCTTGGGAAACCCTAAAAGGGACGAATTTTAGGGCAAGATATCCTTCTCTCCTCTCTCCCATATTCATCCTTTCACCTAGTGTGTTTGTGAGCCATTAGAGGTACTACACTTGTGGTACTTGCTTTCAAGAGCTAAGGAAATTCAAGGAACTAGTTGTTATTACTACATAACAACAAAAGGTATGTATTCTATTCTCCTATGTCAATTTCGAAAATAGTAGATGCATGCTAGGGTTCTTTTGTGTTCATAAAGTTGTATAACTAATAGTGAAAACATAGATCCAACTCTAGGGTTGCATGCACACATAGGATTGTTTGTATAAAACCCATCAGTTATCCCGTAAGATGTGTTCTTGAAATACCCAAGATTGGGCCCTTGAGGCAACAAAAGCATATGAGGTAGCCTCTACTGCTGAGTATAAACCCAAACCACCAAACCGAATGGGTAGGGAAGCAAGTCGCCAAAGAAAAGGGCCACCACAAACCACAATGTCCTCAATCGCCTCGCACAACCCATTATCGAAGAACAACGCCACCTCCTCCATGTGAACGGGTTGGCATGTCCTCAACCCAAAGAAAAGTTTAACAATACCCATACAAGACCGAAGTAAAAGGAGCCCACTCTACGGATCAGACAATTGTGGAATAAGGCATATTAAATTCACTGTGTTTTCAGCTTTCTTTATGACTAAGCTGCTAATGAAACTAACATCTCTACTAACAGCACCCCCGAGAAGTTTCACCTCTAATGGGCGGCCTCCCGATGCCAACCGGGAATAGCTCCTTACGCAACTTCCTACTATCACACGAGGGCCAAAAGAGCTCCGTTTTCTTGATATTCAACTGAAGGCCCAATTTTGGGCTAATAACCTTAATGATGTCTAACGCTTTGGCCACCTCCTTAGAATCTCCAATAAGCGTGCCATTATCAAGGTACCATGCATGGAGAATAAGCTTGAAATTGTCTCTAATATTATGCAAGAGTGGGTGCAACACAAGGGCAAAGAGAAGTGGTCCCAAGGGGTCTCCTTGCTGAACTCCAGTAGTAGAACAAATATACGTGTTTCCTAGATATAACCTTGCTGCTTGAGCATATAGGAATTCTACCCACAAGGATATAGAAGGGCACCTCAATATGACCTCATGAAGTAATGCAGATTTGTCAACAAGGTTAAAGGCATTGGAGAAGTCTACGGTAAGCATGAAGAGAGACCCGTCATTATGACGCTCACTCAACACCCTGTTAGCGCTATGTAATACGGCCTCAGCGCCACCCGACACCTTGACCCCGAACTGAAAATCATAGAGATACTTGGCCATTTCACCTCTTAAATTAGTTTCAAGTGTAAATAAAGGTTCAAAGTATGACAAAAGTACAATCCTAATTCACAAATACATATAAATTGTTCAAATAACATTAAAAATGTTTAATTTCGAAGTGATTTTGGAAAATGGCTAGTATTATCGGTGCTAAGAAAAATGATGAGAATTAGGATTGCATTTTTTTAACATAAATAATAATACAATATTATAATTTATAAATTAATACTTAGATCAATACATAATAATATTCAAATAACTATCAAATTAAATATATATTAAAGTTAAATGAGTTGGTGGGTTGAAAACGAATTAATAATTTTTATCCAACCCAACCTATTTAATTAAATGAGTTAAACGGGTTGACCTATTTAACTTAAATGGGTTGAAAATCTCAACTTAACCCGCTAATTTTGGGTTGGATTCGGGTTGAATTAGCGGGTTGGGTCGAATTTTGCTCGGGTTACATACCTAAGTTTGTGTGGGGTTGTGAGTTGTGACACATACACACACATATACATATATATATATATATATATATATATATATATAATATATATATATATATATATATATATATATATATATATATATATATATATATTGCATGTAGTTTCTTTTATTATGGTGCATATAGTTAGGATAAAACCGCATCGTACTGAAAAATTATGGTTTTTGAAAATTTAAAACCGCACTTGTTAGGTTTCAGTTTTCCTCCATATTTTTTGTCATACATTTAAAAATATGTATGCAAATAGAATATTGAAGAGGTGTTCTTGATATGACATTGATAAAGGAGGAATCTAAGTACATCAAAAATTTAATAGAATCTTGTTTCGTAATTTTTATAGTTTCAACTTTCTTTCTATTAACTTTCTGGAGTTATGATTCTTAATTTGATAAAAAAACAAAAATGTATTCGCTAAACCAAGTTGTGTGAAGTGTAAACATCAGTGGAAAATAAAGGATAGAAAGTTTACCTTATCTTATTCCAAACCGCTTACTAAACGGAAAATCGGTGGTTAGAATAAATTATTCTTGCATATTTTAGTTTTCTTATTATTATTTTATAGTTAAAAATATATTAATTTATTTTATATTTTATATTTATATATAGTGAAAAATAAAAAATCAGTGGCTTTGTTTCTAAGTTTGTGTGTACCCTCATAATAGAAATATGCAATTGGAAAGCAGAAGTAACAACACAACCCCACCTTTATCAGAAAACCCACCACCATCCCTTGTGATTTTCCTGCTTTCACAAGCAAAACAATGAATACCATTCTTCTAGTGAAGTTGCATGCTATATAGAAAGTATGGATCCTTTTAAAACACAAACCGCTAAAAATTTGAATATAAAACATTGAAATTGCAAGGATATTACGTTGACTAATGAAGTTACCCCTTGTCATGAAATCACTTCATCGACCCAACAAAAAACAAATAATCTAAACTAATTCTCAATGACTCAAACACAACTTAATACCGGGGATTGATTGAAACTCATTCTAAGGTTAATTACTTCAAATTTCAATGAAGTGAGAGTGATGCCCCATCATCAAAACTATAATTAAAATGATGAAATTAACATTATCACAAGTTAACAACCTAGATGTTCAACCGCAAGAGTGTGGGCATATATATATTATCTATACATCACAATAGGATAACTAAAATCATAATTAAAATGATGAAATCAACATATATCATACCTTTTGGTGAGAATAAAATTTAAATTTGGATAGTGTGATTTACGTTTTCTTCTCCATAAAAGCCCTCCACACCCATCGTTGGTTCTCACATCGATCTTCCCTTTGCTTTCCTTTTAAAAATGTCGTCATCATTCCTGTTCTTACTGCTACTTATCGTCCATTCCACCACCACCACCACCTATTCTCAAACCACCGCGTCAGCTCCAGCACCACCAGGCCCCGCCAACATTACAAAAATCTTGGAAAAAGCCAGCCAGTACACAATCCTCCTCCGCCTCTTCCACATGACCCAAGTCGGCGACCAAATCAACACCCAACTCAACAACTCCGACCAGGGTATCACCGTTTTTGCACCCACCGACAATGCTTTCTCCGGCCTTAAAACTGGATCCCTGAATTCTCTCTCCGATCAAGAAAAGGTCGAGTTGGTACAGTTTCATGTTATTCCGACCTTCCTCTCCACTTTACAGTTTCAAACTATTAGTAATCCGTTGAGGACACAGGCCGGAGACAGTACTTATTACGAGTTTCCCTTAAATATAACTACCTCCGGCAACCAGGTGAATATATCGACTGGTGTCGTTGATGCCACGGTGGCAAACACCATCTACACCGATGGTTCTCTTGCGGTGTATCAAGTGGACAAGGTGTTATTACCAATGAGCATGTTTGGTCCGCCAGCTCCAGCGCCGGCCCCGGTGTCTGAGAAGACTAAGAAGAAATCCAACGCCGTTGACGATACTTCTTCCTCTGACGACGGTAGTGCCACTGCTGACGCCTCCGGTACGGCTAGTGGCAGTAACTTGCATGGCTTCATTGTTGGCCTTGCCGGGGCTATTGCTTTCATGGGGATGTTGTGTTCGTGACGATTGGGTCCTACCACTGTTTATTTTTTTGTTTTAAGAGGGTTGTGATGGGGCGTGGGTTTTGAGAGATATGCGATGTTTCTTGGCATCAAATTGTCAACTTTTTAGAATGAATGGCATCAACGATTTGCTAGAAATCTCCACAACAATCTACCCTAATACATATAAATAATAAATAATACTCCGTAAATAATAAATATAAATATAAATCTCCATACTTAATAAAAACCTCCCTTAAACGCCACTTGTCATTTTTTACGCTCTATTTTGCCAGGTGTCATTTTTCTGTTTACGGGCTATTGTATTTTCCCGCTCATATATATCTCCTTAATTAAAAAGCAATCTCCAAATCAGATCCCGTGAAACGTGCAATCAAAAATTTGAAATTCTTAATTATCTGCTCCAAGTTACCAAATGTGAGCTTCAATTGCCTAAATCTCGCTCTTCACATATATCTCCATCTACAGATTTTTAGGGTTTATTCAAGTGCATTTTGTTGCAAATGGGTTAAATCTAATTTCTATTATCTTATTGGAAGTTTGAATAATTTCAACGTACTCAAAATTACACATCTCCATCTATTAATTTGTTGATAAACCCTAATTTATCCTTTATCTCGATCCACTCCTTCTTTTTTGGAATTCTTAACAAAGTAAAGGTTCATTGGTATATTCGTCTTCTTTACTGAAGTCAAATCATAGATTTTCGACTATGGGGTATTTGTGTTTCTTTTTTGTATTTCAGTTTTGGATTTAAATTTGTCTATACGTGATTTTAGGGCTGTTCGACTTCATTATGATCCCTGGTTATCACAGAACAATATATTGTCTATATGCTGTTCTTTTTGGTGTTGTTGAAGGATAACGAAGAAAGGACATGTTGATAAGAGTGCGACCATCCGCTTTATCTTGAGATCATAGTTGGTCTGAAGTGGCTTCCATGTATAGAGCTAGAAGATGCAGTCGCCTCGGTTACACCACCACTCCCCCACACAAATCTTATCGTATCTTGCTTTCTTTCATTTATCTATCATCCTACTTCTGTTCTTTCTATTTCACAAATTGTCTATACACAATTTGTAAAGCCTCTGTCTTTTGTTTCAGATAGCTTTCAAAAGAAGTAGATCATATATTGAAGATAATGATAAAAACATACAAGGTAAGGTACAGAGCCGACTTCTTTTAATTGTCCTTTTCAATTGTTGCTGGTTTTTGTGTTTTCTTTTTCTTATTTTTTTAATTAATTTTGTGATGTTTGTTGAAGAAGCAGATAAGTAAATGGTATCTCTCATTGTTTGGGCTTTAGGCCACGAATACTTAATTTGGGTTAAGGATAATCTCATAAACTCATGACATATGAATTAATAAATTATGATCATCTTAAAATGTGTACAATGTTGTTCATCAGAAGATGACGGTGCAATCTGGATATAGTGTATATACTATAGAAGCTAATTAATGTTGTATTTTTGTGAATTAAAAAACATTATTGTATTTGTAGCAATTGCAGTTGGCTTTTCTGGCAAATTTTTTGATTAATGTTGAGATGAAAAGTAACATGTAGCTTGACATTCATTATCAAAATGGAGTACTTTGTTGACCACAAATACAACAAAACTCTAGAACTGAGATGTAATTTTTCATTTAGTTGTTACAATTTCTTCGTTCAAAGGTGTTGCTATTTCTGGTTTGAGATTACATGATTAGAACTAATGTTAAGTTTAGATGAACATAATGAGATGTAATAGTCATTTTGTTGGATGCTATTTATCGAGTCAAAGATGAAAGTTTATTGCTATTTCTGCATACTTTCCTAAAGCTTAATGTTTTTTGTGGGTGCTGTTGTGCAATTCTATCTCTATATCTTTATTTCTTATCGCGATGTGTTAAGTATGGACATCATGAAAAGACAAGCAAGAATCCCACAACTCAATGTTTGGATCCAAGCGAAACATCAACATCTAAAAGAAGGAACAAGGGTATGCGATAGGTTGTCATTTTTATATGTTTTGTTTGGTTGAACTATTTTTTTCGATATAAAATAAGGATCAAGTATCCAGTATTTAGACTATATTCTTTTGTTAGAACGTGGCCTTAATATTTTGATATAGTTTTCCTTTTATGTATTTGCATTTGCTGTCTAATTGGTATATATGATGACTTATAAGGACCCTTTATGCATAAATGTTTTCTATATAGGGACTATTACTATAATTTATACAGTGACCATTATTTTCTATCATGGTGACTTATAAGGACCATTTCTGTAAAAAGATTTTTTGAACATCGACTGTTTTTGACTTTTAGGGCTCATTTCTGCAAAAATGTCTTCTTCACAGGGACTAATGTTGTAATTTACACATTGAGCATTACTTTCAGTAATGGCAATTAACACAACAAAGGCCACTTTTGTAAAATGTTTTTCTGAACAGGAGTCGTTTGACTTATAGGGACCATTTTTGCAAAAACTTTTTCTTTACAAGGACTATTACTATAATTTATACATGGACATTTACTCTCTGTAATGGTGACATAAAGGTACTTCAATTGGTTGAATGAAAGTGGTAATGAGGTCTGGGCTTCTTGCAAACAACAACGAAGGTTTTGGAGTTTGTATTAAGGTTTTGAAGTTTGTATTTGTGTGCGTGATCAGGGCTAATGTGATAAAGGTTAGGGAAACCAGGTCAATTTATTTAATGGTTTTCATATTTAAGGGTAATATGATAAATCTATTATGTATTTTTAAATTATATGATTTTAAAATCTATAAATTTATTATAAATTTTTAAATAACATTTATAAAATATATTTGGGTAAATATAATATTTTAAAGGTAAAAAAAGATAAATACAATATTTAGATAAACGTATGTTCCTATTTCTTGCTTTTAAAATTTTGTTTTTCATAATATCTTACATTGAAAGGACCATTCATGTGATCTTTTAGACAAACACCATCCCTCTAATATGTTTTTAGCACTGGATTATGATAACTTACATTGCATTACATAATTATTAATTTGCATTATAATATAATACTATATTTTCTTGCAAATAACTTTTTTTGGCATTGTACTTTGGTAAATTACATTGCATTAGCTAATTATAGCATTGTACTTTCCAAGTACAATGCAATATTTCGAAAAAAAAAACAGGAGTCTTTCATGCAAATGTTTAATTACATGGTTAGCACAGTAGCACCTATTGGTTATATTTATTTTTTCTCGGTCATTGTGGTTCACTACCAGATGGCATATATTAGTTGCAAATTAAAATCACAACTACTTTATGTAATACCGCAACATACATTCTAATATGTTTTAGAAATAACAATGCAGTTTACAAACTTTTCGAGAAATACCATTGTAAGCTCTATTATTTTTTTTTTTTTGGGGGAGGGGGGGGGGGGGTGGGGGATAGCAATATGGTTGTTTTATTTTATAATCAATTTATATTTTATAAAATAATATCATTATTTGTTTTTATTAATTTACACATAAATAATTTCTCATTGTATCTTAAAAAATAATTTCACATGTTAATTTGAATCGACTATTATTAAGTTACTTGACAATCACATAACTCTTTTATTTAATAACTTTTTGAAAATAATTGGTTAATAATTAAGATTTTTAACTAAAAAAATTCGTTTAATTTTATAACCGTGGTTACTACGGGTTATAACCTAGTATAATAATAATTAATCTCTTATCTTCTCTCTATTCTAATAAAAAATAGTTTTATTTTTCTTTTGACATGTGTCATCCTATTGACTCCTAATTAATGTATATTTTATTATTCTTTTGTCATGCATGTGTTACCATATTATGTCTCATAATTAATGAATGTCGCTTGTTAACCTATTAATGAATGTTGCTTGTTAACCTATTGACTTTTCATTTCAAATTTGAAAATTGAAATTTTCCACTTTAATTACATTAAATTAATAACATTAAAATAAAAATTAATAAAAATTATAAAATGATATAATTTTACATATTTATGTAAATCAATGATTATAAATTTATATAACTAAAAAAATCTCTCAATTAATAATTTATTTAAAATAATTGATTAATAATTTTGAGTTTTTACTTTAAAAATGTAATTAATTTTGTAACCGTGGTTCCCACGGGTTATAAACTACTAATAATAATGATTTTGTCATATGTTTTATTCTCATTCATTTTGACACTTGTCATTTTGTAGATTTTTTGAATTATTTAATATCCACTTGTCATTTTTATAGTTTTTTTATTCAAATTCCACCTATTAAATGTCACCTCATATTAATTAAGCACGTAATAACTTTTTATTTGTGAATTCATCTTTCCATTAATATATTAATTAATATATATGTATATTAACATAGAACATTCTATTTATAAATTCATATTAATAAATTTTATTAGTATAGATTAATTAAGACAAAATTACATGAATGGTCCATGTAGTTTACCAAAGGTTATAAACTCAGTCGTTATTTTTTATGAACATGATCCTTATGGTTACCAAAACGGATGTGAATGATCTTTTTTTGCTCACACAGTTACTTTTGGTCCTTCTAATAAACCAGTGTAATACACGGGTCTCGCACCTAGTATATAAAAAAACAAAGATCTTAACTATCTCCAACCCAACTCGATATGTAATCCAACTTTATTTTCAACTATAAAAATAGAATAACAAATAATATTACTATAAATCTGAATAGACACTAACTAGTGAGTGAGTCTCTAGTGAATCACGTATCACTTTTTTGTAATTGGTTTTTTACGTTTTCTTTTATATATTTGGAATTCAAATCTAAGGGGGACATACATGGTAAAGATAAATAAAAGCGTTTTATTTCATTACGAACATCCATTACATGGAAAGATCGTTACACAGGGGTTGGTTCAAGTTGGTGATGTTCCCGTGGATGCATGCTTGGAGGAACGCAACACTGTCGTGCATGGAGACGTCTTGGTTTTTTCCATCGTCCATAACCTTTTTGGAGATT